AGTCTTCTCTAACCACCTGCTGCCTAAACTAGCATGCTTCAACCTCAGAGTCTCTGTATAAACCACAATGTATATACCATTGAGACCAACATAAGAACACGCTCCCATATCTCATGGCGACTGAATGAGTCTACACCCCAAATGAGAAGTATCTCTCTCTCCTGAATGGAAATGTCAATGTCACATAACATTTTGACGAGTATCTTTAGGTGCATATTGGCCATAGGTTCAGTTTCACTCTGTGCAAGACAACTCTATCTCCTCTTTCAGCTGCCATCAGCCTCCTATTTTGCTGTATGATGAATTAGGGGTATTCTGTGGTAAACTGTACTTAGCTAGCTTCTTATGTTACAGTGAGGGGACAAATGGTGGAATCAATAGGAAAGACTTTGATTTTAAGGCACGGGAGTCACAGAAACTCAAAGAGAGCATTGCTTCAAGCCTTCAGAGAACACTGCTGTAGTGATTAAGTAATTTACCCATCAAACTGGACACCCTGAAATCCCTAAGGTCAAACAATTCACGGTTGAATTCTGAGTTTTTTTCCCCCTGGTGCTTTTGAAGTTCAGGTTTCTTGGTTTGTCAGTATAAGGTGTGTTTGTTTCATGTACTATCACTGTAGAGAATCTAAGCAATGCATTACGTTTTAAGGGTCTGTTTAATCATTATGTATGGCTTGGAACTTGATCTTACTCAAGAGCAGCTCCGGGAAGCAGCTAAAGCAGCAAGACCAAACATGCTAATGCAACAGTCTTTCCTTGGTAAATTAAAAAATGTATTTCAAGAATGATGGCCAATAGCCTGAGCCTATACTCAACCACACATGGGGAAAAATAACTAAATATCCATGTTCAAATCAAATCACTAGACTATTTTCCCTTCATTATTATCGAGCAAAGCTTAAATTACTTGTTACCTAAATTATTAATTATTGTGTAAAACCTGGAGATTAGTTAAACTATTAAGCTTATGATGGGATATGAACTTTATTATGGACTTCAGCAGGCTATATAGTACATCAATCTCTACAACGCCTCCCT